TGGTCTGCATCAGCAAGCTTGTGGTCTGTTTGACCTTCAATTATCCCATCTCTGGGCAAAGCACCTTTTTGAGGTTCCTTCCCAACCGGAAACCGGAAAACCATCAATCAGTATATACATCCAATGCAATGGCAAAATCTCCCCTTTCCGCCTTTTGACCCTGGGGACCAAGTCGGGTTTCCCTTCATTTCCCCGAAGGACCCCCAAGTTGGCTGCGTTCCCTTTGGCTGCAACCAATGAAACACCTAATTCGGCACACGGCGAGCAAGTCTCCCGGCCTGCGCTCAGCTGAGTCAGGTGAAACTGGATCCATTCAGGCTCAATGTTGTCCGACTAGAAGGCATCTGTAGGTGTATGTCTTTATATGTCTTTATGTATTTAATATACGGTGGGGATTCTTGAGTGACCGTTTAGTTAGGGATTTAGGTTCAAACTGTATAGCCTGCAGGCTTTCCTTTGGCAGCCTTTGATCGGATCTCCCAAGAAAGCCAAAAGGAACACTTCTCCTGAGACCACGTGTCACATCTTCACTGCCGTCTGCCTTCGTCATTCGGGCAAAGAGTCTACCACCGGCGATCGCGCCTACGCGCCTGTATAGGCACCCGAGTTCTCTTCGAGAATTCGAAGGGGCCGCAGCGCAATAGGCAAGATGCAAATCTGCATCAAGCGCTCCGGACTTTGGGCGGAGGCCCCCCGGGCCAGAGCCCACGCCGTGGCCATCCCAAAGAACCACTTAAGGGAGCAGCGCTCAAAAAGCGTCGGTCTGGTTCTGCAATCGACATGGCTCTTTTTGTTTCCCCCTCCGAATGCAATTCAACACCGCGCTGGAAAACCAGCGTTGCCGGCAACTACACGGAACCGACGTATCTTGGCCGCTGCCCCACTGGTATTGACCTGCCGGAGAGAATCTCTCCAGCCTCGTGCACGCGGGCTGCTTGGCTTCCCTGCAGACCGTTCCTTTGGCCCTCGCCTGAATCGGATGGATCTGCGAAAACTCTCTGACAGCGAAACACACACCGGAACCAATACGGCGCCGATATGGCAAGCTTCATCCCACTCAGGTTGTTCCAAGGAAGACAGGCAGACCCGCCCCCTGTTCCCCTAAGCGTACGATGGTTGCGTGAGGAAACCATCGCTTGCTCAAGCCAAGGGGCTTCTCCAACAAGCGCTCGAAATGCCAGACAATGAGCTGCCGTGCACAATCTTGACTGTGCTGTTCCAAATGGGTGCTTGGAATTAATTCCAATCCGACTTCACTACAAAGGCCAAGTCAGTTTCTTCTCAAAAGGGATGAATTGGTTGGACTGCCTTTGAGCCAGCTTGAAGTATGAGCTCATGACTGCGGCCGATGGGAAATCCTCCTGACCGCACAGAAACTTCGAACCGGTCAACTGACCACGTGCCTTTGTTCGTTGCAGATTGCGTCTGACACCAAAGAAGGTAAACCCCTCACGCCGATTCCGAGATTCTCATTTCGAGCACTGCTCACGCACCCCCAAGGCCCTCTTCTCTCACTCCGTCTCGGGCGAGGATGGAAGATCCACGCTGTCCTGCGGGCAATCCTTCCCTGAAGAAACAGCGACAAGGTCCACTTCGGGTTCATTAGGAGGTCCTCAGGGGGTGGTTCACTTTGATTTGGGAAATGGTGCATTTCAGTGGCTTCCTCTCATTGGCATGGTCCTCCGGATCAACGTCTGATTCATAGGGAGCCTCCATCTTTAGAACGGATCCCTTCACTTTGAGAAGGGGCCACAGCTATGCCCCAACCAAACAACAACAAGACGTGCACCAAACCTCCACCGACACTCTGGTGGTGCCCAGTGTCCCCGTCAACAACGGCGCTGCCTCCATGTGTCCGTTCTGCAGGTGAGCCCCCCATGTGTCGCGTTGGGTTTAAGGGGAAGGATCCTCTCGGAGATCAGCCTTTTATAAGCCCTATGAACTTCAAATCAAAGCACGCCCCTGACAACCAACTTGGAACCTGAACTTCTGAACACCGCCCTTTTGCGGATGAACTCCTTCTGGGGGATCCTGTTTTGCACGTCTTTTAAGGGAGTACCGAGCCCTACGCTGAAGTTGCCTCTAAGGAAGCAAACACGCGCCAAACAACAGCACCAAACCAGCCCCGAATCCCCGCCCCACCAAGCTGCGCCTTGCTCGGCAGCGCTTCTTTTTGACTGAAGCTATTCTGACTTTGGCCCGAAGCTCGGAGCGAGTTATCGGGAAGGAGCTGAAACATTGGCCGAGGGCAGACGCGGGTGCCCGGCAACGGCCAGACTTCCCGGCACTTGCCTCCTGGCCTCAGCAGAGATGCTCGGACTCGAGGAAAGGACAAACGAGGCCGGTCAGAGACTGGAAATGCAAAACACTAACTTTCAACATGTCCCCCCCCGGAGGGCATTTCTCCAGACAAGGAAATCCTCAAAGTTGACACATGTCTGTCTGTATACCTCTGTGTATGTCTTGAAATGTATATCCCGCCAGATTCCGCTCTGTCTGCGCGACTTGCCGCAGAACGGCAGCTTTTTGTAGGCGAAGGAATTTCCCCTCTTTTCAAGCTCCAGCATGCGGACTCCCCAGCTATAGTGTCTAAACTTCCCTTTTTCGCCTTGGCTCCCAGGGCCGGGAAGCGGTCAGACCCCTTCAGAACCTCTTCAGGATCCACAAAACCTCCCGCACGCTTGAAATTGGAACCCCATGTCGCGCAGCCAAAATCCCTGCTGGCCCAAGTTCACTGCCATTCTGTAGCTTCCTGCAGCCAGCACGAAGCGTGTGCAATAAAAATGTGTGCTCGCGGAGCTTACCCTTGCAAGCGCGAGCTCTACGTTCAAGGGCTGCTTTGTTTCCTGCTGTTTCATGTTTCTTTGCTGCTGTTTCCTGATGCTTCCTGCTTCTTCCAGCTCTTTGGAAGGCCCCGAAAACAAGAGGCCCCACAAGGGATTTGCTGAAAGTAGAGCCAGTCTTCTCCGCTGCTGTTTGCAAAGCCTTTGCCCGTGGCTGCACAGCTCTTACGACAACCGACGCCATGCTGGCAAGCACACGCTGGCCAGGCTTTTGGCACCGTGACGGCGCGCTGCCTCCAAAACAGTTGCCTCCTCTTCCAACGAGGGCTCGGGAGCATTGCCGTCGCGGGCTGGGCTATTGAAATGCAGTGGCACCAGCAGAAACAGCGCTGGGCTCGATCTGCAGCATGTCTCTACTTGCAAACGCCAAAACGGGCATGTTGGAGGCTTTGGCGTCTACATCTACGTTGCAGTAGGCATCTTCCTTGTTCACGACGAGAATGACCTTTTCAAGAGGCTTGCAATCTCCTCCTTCATCTTGGCCCGCAAAAAGTCTACCTTGCGTCCCCCAGCGTGCTTGCTCTCCAAAGAAGAAGACAAAAAGTCTTCCCCAGTCCGCGCACTGAGCCTTTGCGGTCGCTACAAGTCCTCGCATCCAAGGCCGTGAGCCTGCGCTGTTGAAACGCCTGGGCGCACGCTTCCCCGGCCTGGGGACCGGGGATGGGCCAGAAACATGGCTTAGCCCTCCAAGCCGCGTTTTGGGCCAGAGTTGCCCGAAAAGCAAACCAATTCGTAACGGGGCGCAGCGGCGCGTACGCCCGATGCCATTGCGCGGGAGGTGCCAGGCAGTCCAGAAGACTTCGATTGGATGCCTTGGAGGCGGGTTCCATTCCAGGGACAAAGTTTGCCATGCAAACAGAAAAGGCTCTATTTTGCAACCAGCACCAAGGGAAAACAGAACATTGGCATTGCGGATCTCAACTTGTCCCTCTTGGGGTCTCTCGATCTCTTGTGGGGGCACATAGCCACCTTTATTCCCTATGCTCCCCAGGTCCTCAGTAACATGCCCGTGCTCGACCGCAAAGCGATCTGCGTCCAACCAATAGGCTCGTGGCCGTTCTTTTGTCCGTTCCAAGACCAAAGTCTCGGCCCGCCCCCGCCGTGTCCTAGGAATGGAGGTTGTCGCCGCAGGGCTATAGCCAACGCAAATAATTGGCGTTGGAGGCTCAAAAACGAAAATAGGAGTAACAATAATAATAGTGATGATCGTAACGATATTACTGAACATACTACTGGTAATGATACTGATAATAAGTTGTGATAAGAATGCTTGCAAAACGAATGCTAGTACTCACGATAATAATAAGGATAACAAAACATACTGGTAGATAATTTCAAGGGAACGGTGCACTAGCAATGACAGTACTGATTATTGAACTAGCACTTATGATATACAAGTATAAGCGCAGTCACTGACGTCACAAATTGAGGTACCATGATGTTCACAGCTGGAACAGTTGACAGGTCTTGTCTAATCACGAGCTCGTTTCGAAACACACCCGTAGACTTTGACTTGCGGCAACAAGTCAAACTGCTTGTGATTTGGCGGGGAAACAGTTTGCCGTGTTCCAAAGGACAAACCATGTGGAGCCATAGACAACATCCATACCTTCGAGGCCGTTCGGAGGAAAGAGTTTCCGCTAAAACCAGCGACAAAACAAAAACAACGAGAAATAAACACCATTCCACAAAGAAACGAGAATCAACGGAAACGACGCCCGCCCGCTTTGGCCTCCCGGCTATAGGGCGGGGAAACTCGGACTTGTGGCCGATTCCTGGCTGGAGGAGAAGGGGCTCACCCCTTTGCCGAAGAGAGAGAACGGGTTATGTAGACTTTGATTTCTCAAAACGAGACACGGAAATGAAAGGGGTTCGCTGTATTGCCCCTCTTTCCCTTGCGTGGTGCTAGAGAACGGGAACTTGACGGGCTTTTCCCTTTCCAAGCATAGATCTGCGCCGTTGGCTAAATCTCAAACAAGCCACCCAAAGTAGCGGGATCTGTTCTTGGGGCGGGTTCCCTGTAAATATTCTAGAGCTTGACAGCCTGGCTCCCTTTAATACGCAAAAGGCCCCCGTTCAATTCTAAAGGGACAATGGTCAAAGCTAAGCAGCTCCCGTTCCTCTTAAGCCCCCAAACAATCGAGCGCGCGCGGCGCCAGTTTTCTCCACCACGGGTCCAAGCGAGCCCCGGCGAAGTGCGCTTTGCAGCTCTGGCCAGGAGCAACCCCCCGGCTCAAACCTGGATCTGCGCGTGCTGCGTCTCATTTTTGAGGAGCAGAGCCACCTTCCCGGTGCTATGTCCGGAAAGTGACTGGTTGTAAGCCTTGACCTGAGGAAATGGCCGAGCGCGAGCAACGAGGAGCAATCACATGTCAAACAGCTTGTTGCTTTGGTAGTCGAATGAAAAGAAAGTGTAGCTGCCAAGTCGCACTGACTTGCAAATAAAAACCTCCTGATGACGTTGCCCGGGGAACAACCCAGCAACCCTGCTTGTTGTGAGCCCTCAGTACCGGCCCAGGTGAAAGCATTTGTCGACTAAGCAGTCTCATCAACTGCCGAGTGAGTTTCCATTGCAATGAGGGTTGGAGCCAAAGGTGGTAAGCCCTGGTTCCGCGAAACGCATGCGGCTCCATCCTGGAGCTACTTTTACACAAGCCACCCCTGACTCGAGTAAAACAGCAACATGTTGCAAAGAAGCAAAAGCTTTCAGCGGTTCACGAAGTATTCTTCGGAAGCTCCAACTCAAAAAAAGCAGCGAGCGTAGTCAAAGTACACATTTGCAGCTCGCGCTTGAACCATCTTCTGCAAGAATTACTTGCAATACACGTCCGGATAAAACCGCAGCTTAGACCTGGAGACTTTTCGTGTATCTTCCGCCGAACATTGTGAAAAGATCAAGGCCTACACACAGGCAGTCTGCAAAGCTGGGCGAACGTGCTACGTGGGGTTTGTGACCATAAGTCCCTTGAAAACCAGCAAGACTTCAGCCAAACAAATATTTTGCGAACTCTATCACAGGGCCTCCTTAGGTAAACCAAATTGTCGACATCTCAATTGGCCACGGCAACTCCCAAATGGAGCCCCAAAACTTTCACCTGGAAGTGGAACGTGATGACTTGTAGGTGATAAGGATTCCCCCCAATCTTCGGAAACGCCCCTACTTCGGATTGTCTCCCCTTACCTATCATGGCTTACAACTTACAACTGGAAGCACTGAGCGTGTAGAGGGTAGAAAATTACGGGAAGTCGCGCTGCATACGATCTGAAACAGCGCCCTTGATATCCAATCTGCAAACGTGTGGGAGCATCAAACACCAACTGGGAACCCAGAATCCAAAAGGTGAGGCGGTCCGCGGACAACCACTCCTCTGACTTTTCATAGTGTTCACGTGCCCAAAACGAACGTCATATATTCGGGTCATCTTCCCCTCTCCCAATATTTGCGCGTGAGCCTCACACATGGATCCACGTAAGTATGACTGTGAGAGTTGTGGTACGCTGGATTGGGCTACAATGTGTCAACGCCACAGGTCACAAGCTGGACCAGGAATCCTCGTTTGACCTGTGACCCTGGTGGAAATAGGGCCAAATCATGCTTAAACACCTGTGGTTCAAACAGCCTCTTGGTTCTCTGAAACAGGTCCCCCTAAAAACAATAAAATAGTGACGTTCCCTTAAAACCACCAAAAACGGTACCCTATGGTACCAATTATACTATACATATATATATATATAGATATGCATATACAAATATTATATATATATGCAAATATATATATATATATATATATATGTATAACAACAGAACCCAATCCCCTCCATTTATTCGGGGCGCAATGTCCTCCAGGCCAAACACCTGGCCGATGTGGACCTTCAACTTCCCCGCCTCCACCATGGAGGCCACCTATGCGGCAAGCCCAAAACCAACGGGAAACCAAGCGAAAAACCACTGGGAAACCAAATCAAAGGGTAACCAACAAAAAATCCCATGTATGGGCTGTGTTTGGAACTGTCGTGGGTTTGACTAGGCTGGGCTTGAGGGAAACCAAACCGAAATGGGGAAACCAAAAAAGGACATCTTCTTGTTGGCTCCCACGCTTTGGGGACACACGTCAAATGGCTCCGTTTTTTTTGGGCTGTACATATTGGGACCATGGTTTCATGTTGGTCCAAAGAGAAACCAACAGAAAATCATACATTACCAGTCCCCTATTTTGGAGACATGCCCAAATCGGCGAAAGTCAACCTGTGGGAAGTCAACTCGCTCTGGCTCGAAATCTGGCGATCCCAAAAACTGTTGATCTGGCTTTGCTTTCCCTTCCGACCAACAAAGCCACATGCCCTCTTGACATGGGTCGGATACTGGCTGGCAGTGGTGGTGACAAGAGCTGACCCCGCCACCAGCAAACAAACGATCTTAATTTGAGGACGCCAATATTGTCATCCACGCTTGCCCTGAAACATTGACAATCAAATGTCCACCGCCTTGTCATCATCGACCGATTTTGTTTGAGGTCTGAGAGCGAAAGACCGAACTGAAAGCTCTGCCCTGGGGCATGGTTGGGGCGAACAAAGAACACCCTGACTCAATCTTTCAGCAAACCATTGCTCTAAGCACCAGCGCATCACCAGCACAAGCACACGCACACACATGAGAACATACCAACACACACACACGCACACACGCACAAACACCAACACTCAGAACACAGCAAACCAAACCAGGAACCCGCACGGAAACACACAAGCAACAAGCAGGCAATCACACAGTCAATCAAAAAACGACAACCGCCAAGCCAGCCCACCAAGCATCCAGCCAGCCAGCCAGCCAAGCAAGCCAGTAAGCGAGCGAGCAAAGGAGCGAGCAAGGAAGCAAGGAAGCAAGGAAGCAAAGAAACAAGAAACCAAGCAAGCAAGGAAGCAAGGAAGCAAGACAGCAGCAAGCAAGCAAACAAGCAAGCAAGCAGTAACTAAGCAGCAAGCAAGCAAGCAAGCAAGCAAGCAGTAACTAAGCAGCAAGCAAGCAAGCAAGCAAGCAAGCAAGCCAGCAAGCCAAGCAAGCAAGCAAGAAAGCCAGCCAGCCAGCCAGCCAGACAGCAAGCCACAAGCCAGAACGCCAGCAAGCCAGGAAGCCAGCCAGCCAGCAAGCCAGCCAGCAAGAGCAAGCCAGGAAGCCAGTCAGCCAGCCAGCCAGCCAGCCAGCAAGCCAACCAGCAAGAGCAAGCCAGCCAGCCAGCAAGCCAGCAAGCCAGCGAGCAATAACTAAGCAGCAAGCCAGGCAGCCAGCCAGCAAGCCAGCCAGCCAGCGAGCGAGCAAGCAAGCAAGCCAGGAAGCCAGCCAGCAAGCCAGGAAGCCAGCAAGCCAGCCAGCCAGCCAGCCAGCAAGCCAGCAAGAGCCAGCAAGCAAGCAAGCAAGCAAGCCAGGAAATCAGCAGCAAGCAAGCCAGAAAGCCAGAAAGCCAGGAAGCCAGCCAGCCAGCAAGCCAGCAGCAAGCAAGCAAGCAAGCAAGCGAGCAAGCGAGCAAGCGAGCAAGCAAGCAAGCACGCAAGCAAGCAAGCAAGCAAGCAAGCAAGCAAGCAAGCAAGCAAGCAAGCAAGCAAGCAAGCAAGCAAGCAAGCAAGCAAGCAAGCAAGCAAGCAAGCAAGCAAGCAAGCAAGCAAGCAAGCAAGCAAGCAAGCAAGCAAGCAAGCAAGCAAGCAAGCAAGCAAGCAAGCCAGGAAATCAGCAAGCAAGCAAGCAAGCCATTCAGCAAGCCAGAAAGCCAGCAAGCCAGCAAGCCAGTCAGCCAGCAAGCCAGCAAGCAAGCAAGCAAGCAAGCCAGGAAGCCAGCCAGCCAGCAAGCCAGCAAGCCTGCAAGCCAGCCAGCAAGCCAGAAAGCCAGAAAGCCAGGAAGCTAGCCAGCCAGCAAGCCAGCCAGCCAGCAAGCCAGCAAGCCAGCAAGCCAGCCAGCCAGCAAGCAAGCAAGCAAGCAGGAAGCCAGCCAGCCAGCAAGCCAGCAAGCCTGTCAGCCAGCAAGCCAGCAAGCAAGAGTCAGGAAGCCAGCCAGCAAGCAAGCCAGCAAGCCAAAAAGCCAGGAAGCCAGCCAGCCAGCCAGCAAGCAAGCCAGCAAGCAAGCAAGCAAGCCAGGAAGCCAGCCAGCCAGCAAGCCAGTCAGCCAGCAAGCCAGCAAGCAAGCCAGGAAATCAGCAAGCCAGCAAGCCAGCCAGCAAGCCAGAAAGCCAGGAAGCCAGCCAGCCAGCCAGCAAGCCAGCAAGCAAGCAAGCAAGCCAGCCAGCCAGCAAGCAAGCAAGCAGCAAGCCAGCCAGCCAGCAAGCCAGCAAGCCAGTCAGCCAGCAAGCCAGCAAGCCAGCAAGCAAGAGTCAGGAAGCCAGCCAGCAAGCCAGCAAGCCAGCCAGCAAGCCAGCAAGCCAAAAAGCCACGAAGCCAGCCAGCCAGCCAGCCAGCAAGCAAGCAAGCAAGCCAGCAAGCCAGTCAGCCAGCAAGCCAGCAAGCAAGCAAGCCAGAAAGCCAGAAAGCCAGGAAGCCAGCCAGCCAGCCAGCCAGCCAGCCTGCCAGCCAGCCAGCCAGCCAGCCAGCCAGCCAGCCAGCCAGCAAGCAAGCAAGCAAGCAAGCAAGCAAGAGAGCAAGCAAGCAAGCAGGAAGCCAGCCAGCAAGCCAGCCAGCCAGCAAGCCAGCCAGCCAGCAAGCCAGCCAGCCAGCAAGCCAGCAAGCCTGCAAGCCTGCCAGCAAGCCAGAAAGCCAGAAAGCCAGGAAGCAAGCAAGCAAGCCCGGAGGTGTTCCGCGGGTGGTTTCTCCTTCTTTGTCTACACCAAATTTAAGCCCCCAATCCGAACCGCCAACTAAGGGGTACCCTTTCATCAGGGCACCCCACGTGCAGTTCCACCTGAAAGGCTACCCTCAAAAAATACCCCTCGCCTGCTCGATGCGCTGGTGCTGGGAGCAGCTGCCCACACAGGTGGGCGCGTTCTGGCGCACGTCCGGGCGGTGAAAGCGCGTGGAGATGGACGCGGTGGCCCCCGTCAGCAGCCTGCCGTGAACCAGCGAGCAAATCATGGCATATACATATATGTATGTATATGATGTATATATATATATATACATATATTTATATGTTTATTTATTTGTGGTACCCCCCGGTGGACCCAGGTTGTGCGAGTGTGAGCTGTGTTCTTTCCAGTGTGTTAAACGTGGATACATCATATACAACTCACTGGCTGACTGGGCGACTGAGAGGCAGCCTGAAAAAATATTGAATCCTTGATTTGACTCAAATGGTTCCTTACCCGGACTGGCAGTGTAGAACAGTTCCCTGTTTCTGGGCCTGGGAGTTGTATCTCCGGAGTTTCCTTATGTGCTCACCTAAAAGCTATAGCCGCTTGTTGGTCCTGCCCACACGTCGAACACATCCACAACAAGGACCACCAAGAGAAATCGACAGAGTTCAACTCCCCAATAAGCAATAGGGCCCTGCAAAATTCATAGTTGCTGTTGTTTCTTGCTTGGAATAGATGGCCAATGTGTTCAAGCAGCGGCCTGAAAAGCAATGGAGTCGTGCAAGACAGGAAGGTGGCAATGGGTCAAGAATGACAAGGGCCCCAAGAATCCATCGCCAAGCACAATCTGTGGAAATGTGGCAGGAGTGGGGAGCGCCATTATACTTGGCACACAACGCATTATACGCAAAACAGCACACAAACCCATCAAAAAGGTGATGCTATCCTCCAAACACCTTGTCTTGCACCTGATGGAAACCCCATCCCCCTGGAAAGCTGTCCTCCTACAGGGATCTCTCAGGTTTCTTGACAGGAAACCCAACGGGGAGGTGATCCAACCGTCCAACCATATCACTCTGTGCAGCCAGGCACGTCACAAAGCTGCCATGCTCCTGGACGGCGCAAGGTTCGGAGTGCCGTGCCCCAGCTGTTGAACCGTCCGCCCATTGGCTTCCCTTCAAACAGGTTGTTCAAATAAAAAGACCCCTCGAATCCGCTTCGGAGGATACCTCACTATTTGTGTGGTCCATGGTCATAGTTTTGTTACTAGAAATACTTACATTAAGGTCCTCTCAAGTGCCTGTCACTATGCCTACCAACCCAGTGAACGTCGTCTTGACCCTGGTAATTGCAACTAGGTATGTCTTAACGTAGGGGACGCCAAAACGGGTGGCTTGCGCTTTGGCTTCTCAAGAAAAGACGCCGGCCGCTGTCCTTGATGATGCCGAAGGCATGGTCCCCGGTGCCCTTCAGCCCCACGCAGTCGTACACCACGTCTACTGACTTCGGCTGGAGCACGTCGTAGTAGTTCTGCTTTTTGTAGTCCTGAGCCGATCGAATGCCGCTCGCCACGTACAGGAACCGCGACTCCCGAAGAAGTTTGAGGAATCCTCACTCGCAATCGGAGGGTGTTTGTATGCCTTCTGATTCCCCTTGGGCCAATGCGCTGATGTTCATACTCCTCTCCTCAAAAGTGTACATCCATCATAAAGTGGATTGGAAAGAGAGCCGCTATTTCAACTCTATGCCAGCCAAATAAATTCTGCTGTGCGTCCGAAAACCAGTGACCACCGAAATCAGACGGGTTCAAAACGAGACCCACAGGCAACTCATGATTTGGGCATGTGACACAACTGGGTACCCTTTTCTGGGGACGGCAATATGCAGGATGTCAACAATAATCGACCGTTGAACGGGACGACCAACTTTGCATGGCCCAAGGACGGTATATCTCATCCCAATTGCAAACTCTAAGGGACCGCTGCCGAATTTCAAGAAGCTCAGCCCTGGCGCCGGGCGTCAATCACCTGATCCGCGCCGAGGCTACGCACAAAGTCCCGGTGAGTCTCGGAGCAGGTGGTGATGACCCGTGCTGCGCCCATCGCCTGGCAAAACCAACGAGCAGTCGTATATGGGAACCTCGCTCGAGTGGAGTGGCACAGAAAAGCTCCAAGCATGTTTCTTCGCACTGAATTGATCTTCCATGTAATTATTATCTACCCCAAAAATGAAAAGGGGTACCTACTCCAATATTTGTTAGAACAAATCCGGATCTGGCTATGTTCCAACCCTGCGACAGCCCTGGTCTTCGCCCAGCCCCGGCAACACCCCACGCCGCCGCCACCAGCATCACAGCCGCCACCGCCGACCCCGCCGCAACTGTCGCCACCGCCGCCAAAATCACCACAACCACCACCACAATCACCTTAAACCCATGATTTCCTTACATCTCCTGTATATCAAAGTGCTCCAACAACAAAATTCCAAGAGGGGAGTGCGTGGCCACCCCAAACACTCAACAGTGGAAATGAAAGGGTACCCAATTGTGCAACCGTCCTGCCATAAAGGAACTATTTCTTCTGAGTACTAAGAAAGGCAGCACAAAGCAATACCAAGCCAACACTAAACTAATACCAAAGCAATACTAGAAAGTGCTAGAGCAGCACAAAGCAATAATAAACCAATGCGAACCAATACTAAGACAGTACTGAACTTGGGAAAGGCCATGTTCTCCCGCAAATTTGTCTTCGGGGGGAGTGACCCACATTCTGGCCCGTGTTTGTGTTCAACATGTTGGCTTCGGGCGCCAGTCAGATGCTCCCAAATCTGCACACAAATATGTAGGATGTGGGCAGGTCGGAACAATCGGCCTTTTCTGCGGGGTCCTTGGCTTGCAAAAATCCGGTTTCGGCGCTGCACGTCAGAACAACTTTGGAGATCAAGCTCAACCAATGTTTGACATCCCAAAAAGGGCTGGGGGCAGGGGAAAGAATCCCTCCAACCTCCAGGGGACTAAGAACTATGGAAATCGGGTAATCTGTGTATTTGCATGTGTGTGTGGACAAAGGGAATGAAGCAATCAAGGATTTCAGCAAAGGACTACTACTTGCGCACGAACATCTGAGCCCTTCGCCTGTGAACTCGTGTCGTACCTGCTGAATCCTGAATGCCTCGCGAAGAATGCAGTGATGGACCCGGTCCCAACGCACCGCACAGCGAGTGGAGGGCGTCACAGTCTAGAACGTGATGGAAAGCAATTGCTTGACACGGATGTCAAAGCTGTACGCGCTTCCTTGGACACTGCCGTCCTCTTTGCTCTCGGTCGCGGACGCCAAGCCCTGCTTACGGAACATTGTGGAACAGTCGCTCGTTTCGCGGCCCCTGCCTTGGCCAGCTGAATGCCCACGTGCCCGGTTCCACCACCTGTCGCTTGTCTGTGGCTTGGCGGCCGTGCAGGTTCAAATAGGGAATGGAGGAATACAATTGCGACGAACAAGTAGGTTAAACTGTTAAACCCTGTTCATGGGCAACTCAACCAAAAAACTTTACTTTTCACCCCCTCCTGTGTACCTTGATCTCCAAAAAGGTTCCGCGCCTTGGTCCCCACCCCCCCCCCCTCCCCCACGCCCCCCCCGACTCCTTTGACCCGTCGTCCGAGGCGCTGCCACCGAGGACCAGCACGGTGGCGTTGCGCAGGCCCGCGGCTTGGCCCTCGGCAGCCCACAGCAAGCTCTCCAGGCCGGTGAGGGCCACCATGGGCATAGCCCCCGCCTCCAGCCAGCCTAGCAACTCGCCATCGTCGCCATCGTCGGCCCGTCGAAGTCGGGGGCAGGCATTTTTGGAAGAAAAGGAGAGGAGTTGGTGTTTTGCGCAACCCGGTGGCTCCTATCAATTGGATGATGTTCAAAGCCCCCCATCCCATTAAATTGGGGGCTGGGGGTGGGGGGTGGGGGAGGGGGAGGGGGAGGAGGGGGAGGAGGGGGGGGGGCTGGGTGAGTTGATGTGTACAAAACCACAGTGGGTCACTGGCATTTGGCAACGAGCCTTTCAGCTGGAGAATCGTGTGGGGGGGGGGGACTTAGAAGGGAAGGAGACTTTTAATGAAGCCCCCACGTAAAAGGAGCCCCTTTTCAAGAAGGCGGGACCAAAACGAAAGGGGACTGAAGGGTTGTTTCTCCATATATCAGCCCCAAACATCTCCCGATCTCATACAAATGGCATACCGCAAACTCCATTCACATCCATGCGCACTGCAAATTTAGCTCTAGACATACAAAGGTTTAAATGCACGAATACATGTATAGTCTTGTGTGCATGCCGAAATTTGTCACCAGTCCCAGGGGCTGAGAGATTTGGGCTTGATCCCCAGCACTGACTCGGAGACCACCGCGTACTGCGCGTAGGTGCCCGCTGTGGTGACCATCTCGGTCAGGGTTGTCGCCTGCAGACTTCGGCTTGGGGTTTCATGTGGCTACGGCTCAAAAACATGTACCCAACATGGCACCTTGGTTTATGGGAACAAAGACTACCTGCGTCACCCCAGCTGCTTAGTCTTGAGCCGCACCCATGTGGAAAGGCATTTCTTCCAGCCGGAGAGAAAATCGCACGGAAAATGGGTTAGATTCTGAGGACAAATCGATCCCCACAAACTCGAATCCCGCCATCACCTGGAATAGGTGCTATTTGGTCCTGCATAAGGACTATTTGAAGATTCCCCAGTCGCAGTGAGACGTTTGATGAAAATGTCAACAGGGCCAAAACCATCACTTTGCCAAGTCGCCAGGTCTGGCAGTCACAAATTAACATAAAACCCAACAAGAAAAAACAAACCTGTTTTTTTAGACCTCGCAAAAGAAACCTGATCTTGAACTTGGGCCACTCCTTGTCGGGCTTCCTTCTAATCAACTTGCGGGGGGAGGGGTCGAGGGGGTGGAGGGGGCCACATCCGTTTCGCCTTCGCTTCGCTCGCGAAAGCTATGGCCAGGCCTCGCCCCAGACCTCGTCCCCCACTTTCAGGCGCGCGCAGCCCTTGCCCAGCGCCAGCACCTGCCGAGCGGCCGAGGACCGCGCGGCGAAGGGGCCCCGCAGATTGGCACGGGGACGACCCAAAAACTGGAGGACGCGGACGACCCAAATAAGTTTTTGGAGGAATACCAAAGGGGTATTCCAAAGGAAAAATACCAAACATATATTCCAAAGGAAAATATTGCTGATTGGGGTTGAAGTACCCTGCAGAACTGAAAGGCAGGGTGTCCACCTGGGAGAAGCCTACACGCCTCAAGATTGGCATTTCTCCGTGCTGGCGACTTCTGAAGAGTTGCCCTCTTGTCGCCCGCCCTGTGGCCAGCTCAATACCTAAGCAGAAACCATTGATCCCTTCCCCCTAATCATAAACCCGGACCCCCCCTTTTAAAAAATCAGGTCTGGGGAACAAAACATATTTATTAATAGGGTACTTGGCGTCAGATGGGCTCCTGGAGACAAAAATCATCCCTTGAAGCGGGCTCAACATCGAGCTCTTCAAATGGTCTGTAGAACAAACTTTCAAAGGGAAAGACGCTGCGCTTTTGATTGGTTTCGGTAAGCACAGATTAGTGCAGGGCAAGAAAGTCTGAGCCCTTTGCCCCCTAACAAGACTGGGTCTGGTCTGGGCGGAGACATCGGACAGTTTAGTATTGGTTTGAATTGGCCTAATCTCTAGTCTAAAAGTAGTCGGCTGCTTGAGCCAATCTGGGAAAGATTGTGTATTTATTAGTAAGGCGCGTTTGTTAAAAGGGGGAAGGGATTACCCCTTATAGAGGGAAAACCCTACCACACATCATCAATTGACGGTGGGGGGCCGAAAAGACCAGCACAAAAATACCACCTTTGCCACTTTCAAGTTGCCCTTTTGCGGTGTGGTACGGCGTACCGTCCGCCATCAAAACTGGCTTTAGCCAAAGGGGATCCCCTTTTGGGGGTGGCTGGACTGGACAACCAATTGCCTTTCATCCAATCAGGCGATTCCGAACAGGTTTCTTCGCGCTTCCACGCGAAACATTGCCCCACCAAAATGACTCTCACGTCAAATTGGCCCAACGCTCAAAAAAACCATCCAAGCCCAAGTTTCGCGGTCTGTCGTACTTTCCTGGGTCACCCCCATGGGCTTGGATGATCGGAAAGCCCACAAGGCTTTCACATGCCTTGACTCAAACCCAACGCCGCCTTCCCCGCAGCGTCGTAGCCCAGCTTGTGCGGGTACGTCCAGGACCATCCGGCCATCTCCACAATCTTGTGATCCACCTGCGGGGCTGGTAGGGCTGGATGGGATTTTGCTTGTGTGCGCTTTTCGGCTTCTTTTTTGGGGGGTTTTGCGTTGAAGTGGCTTTGAAACCACCCCAACACAATGTACCCTCGAAAACAGGCACCCATAGTACAGACGTTGACTCTCATATCTGCTAAACAGGAAGTAGAAACCTGTTTGTGACTTGAACCATTGTTGGGGTTGTGCGGCTTCCCCAAGTTCTCAAAAGCAAAAGCAAACGCTTGCAACAAAGAGGACATGGTCCCGTCTATCCGAGCACTTCCTCACTTGGAGCAACAATCACACATATGAGCCTCATTCACATATGCGATTGGTAAATTCTAGTGAGTCCACCCCGACCTCCTGAACTGCTGTGGTTTTGATAAGTGATCCCTTCTTCCTAACAGCGCATACTTCCCAAACTCCCAAAGCGGGAGCTTCCCAAAACAGGTAGTCCTGGACTTGCTTTGCCAGAAACAAAGCGATGGCAAGTTCCATAAATTCAGGTCTTGCTATCGGGGGGCGGTTCCTTCGTTCACCAAGGCATGTTGGCCTCCATGTTCTTACTTTGCAGGTTCTCCCGAAACGAGGAGTCCAGCATGCGCGCCACTTGCCGTGGGAAACAAGCAGCTCAAAGTGTTGAAGCTGGAAGGTCCCTGGTCAGACCCGTGCACCCTGGGCTTGTCACCGGTCCACAGTAGCAGGGTTGAGTCTAGGACTGACCCTAAATGAAACAAATTTCCAGTGGGCGCAATGCCAAGCTCGAATGCAAAACCCTTAGATGTTCCTTGGGTCATCAAAACAACAAGGTGTCCAATGCCCTTCAACTATGGCTTGAGTGCTTGCTTGCCGGCTTGCTTGTGTGCCTGTTTATATGCTTGTGTTGTTTGCTTGCGTGCGTGCTTGCTTGCTTGCTTAGCTTAGCTTAGCTTAGCTTGGCTCAGCTGGCTTAGCTTCGCTTGGCTTGGCTTGGTATAGCTTGCATGCATTCACTTGCAGTCTGTATGTGCGTACGTACACATGCATGCATGTGCAGTATGTATGTATGCATGCATGCATGCATGCATGCATGCATGCATGCATGAATGAATGAATGAATGAAGGTATGCATGCGCAGTATGTATGTGCAGTATGTATGTGCAGTATGGTAAGGAATGATATGGTAATGCCATGGTAATGCTATGGTATGGTATGTTATGGTCTGGTCTGGTCTGGTGGGGTCTGATATGGTATGGTATGTGTGTATGTATGTCTGTATGTATGTAGATCATCTTATGTTATGTTATGTTACGGTATGCTGTGTTATGTCATGTTATGTATGTATGTGCGTGCATATGTACGTGTGTGTACGTACGTACGTACGTACGTACGTACTACGTACGTACGTGCGCGCGCGCGTGCGTGCGTGCGTGCGTGCGTGCGTGCGTGCGTGCGTGCGTGCGTGCGTATGTATGTATGTATGTATGTATGTATGTATGTATGTATGTATGTATGTATGTATGTATGTATGTATGTATGTATGTATGTATGTATGTATGTATGTATGTGTGCATGTATGTGTGTGTATGTGTAATGTAATGTAATGTAATGTAACGTGGTGGAATGTAATGTAGTGTAGTGTAGTGTAATGTAATGTAATGTAATTCACTGTAATGTAATGTGATGTATGTAGGCATGGTATGTATCGAAGTATGTATGTATGTATGCATGCATGTATGTATGTATGTATGTATGTATGTATGTATGTATGTATGTATGTATGTATGTATGTATGTATAAAAGTGTGTGTGTGTGTCTCTATGTATGTGTGTATGCATGCATGCATGCATGTATGCATGTATGCATGTATGTGTGCATGTATGTATGTATGCATGCATGCGTGTATGCATGTGTTCTGCTATGCTATCCGATGCTATGCTATGCTATGCTATGCGATGCAATGCTTTTTAATGTAATGTAATGTAACGTAATGTAATGTATTGTAACGTAGCGTCAGGTAATGCAATGTAAATGCAATGCAATGCAATGCAATGCAATGCAATGCAATGCAATGCAATGCAATGCAATGCAATGTAATGCAATGTATGTATGTGCGTATTTGTGTATTTGTGTATATATGTGTGTGTGTTTTGCGTGTGTGTGTGTGTGTGCGTATGTGCATGTGGGTCTACCCGCTCGCCTGCCCGCACGCAGCAGTCGGTCAGTTGGTCCGTCGGTCAGTCAGTCGGTCACTCGGTTGGTTGGTCGGCAGCTTTCTTTATATCAGAATGATTGTTGCATTGCTTTCGTTTACCTTTCCTTGGTTGCTCTTTCCTTGGTTGTTCTTTGTCTTTGATTTCGTTTGTGGTTCCGTCTGAGCTTGTGCTTGTGTGTGCGTGTCCGTGCGCGTGTGTGTGCTCGAGTTGATGTTGCGGCTGCATTTGCTGTTTGAACGTCCCTGTTATGTTCCTTCGTTGGTTGTTGGTCCGCTAATGTTTCTTTCCTGGAATAGCAAAGGCATTCACGAAGAAGCACGTTCGCTATCAAGTCGGGGCGCCGGATTGATGTTGGACGCGTGGACCTCTATGAGAACCTCGCCGTGCCCCGGCTCGGGGATCTCCTTGGCTCGTGTCAGAACCGTTTGACCCTGCGGACGACTGGAAAAGGGACTCTACGTAAACACGGAAATCATGAAGCCTATCATGTGGACGCGTTGCAAGCTCCTTTTGGCATCTTCTCATCGCAATACAAACACACACACACACACACAACCAGAAAGCACGCAAACGCATATGTACGCATCTCAAGCTTGCTCTTGCAGCAACGCATGCCAAAACATCAGTCACAAGGCTTCTGCCAAAAAGGGATGGGCTCATGTCCCACCCTTTAAGTCTGCTGGGAGCAACCCAGATTAAGAAATTCAGTTTGGGCTCCACGTCGATCACCTCGACCTTCTCCAGGTGGAACTGAAAATCCCAGCTTCGGTTGGCCACCACAGCGGCTCGCATCTTTCCTGCATCAGCCAGGCATGTCCTCAATGGGCAAAAGAGAATCTCTGTCGCTTTCCCTGCAAAGAGTCGAAAAGCAAATGAATCTGCAATCGGCTCACAGCATAGGATGAAATCAACGTGGCTGCGTTGCACGATTTAGCCACCTATTTCCCCAACAATGAATCGGCAAGAAGCCCACTGTCTGCATGCTTCAGCGAGTTTTCTCCGACGCTTACACTGAAACCTCCCAATCCTGAAACTTTGATTTGGGGAACTCGCGTGACCCTTGGCTTGCCCAGGCGCACGAGCAGCGGGATCAGTGCTCGGGCGACCATCGTGTCAGCTGCCCTTTCGATTTGAGCCGAGGTCTGCAGGGCTCGAGCCGCGGGGCTGGGTGCCCGTCTTGGAGCTGCGTCTCAAAGGGAAAGAACGGGGAAATCGAATTTCCATTTTAGAAGTTCGATTTGAAGAACACGCTGGGCTTGCGACCCCCCAGCTCTTTTAGATGAACCAAAAAGGACAGCCAAGAGTTCTTGCATTCTGCTTCCAGCAGCTCATGGTTCGTAAGCATGGGGTTGTGAACAATGGGCCTCTTCTGTGTTGCTCAAGTGGGTGATTCCCAAACCAACATGGCAATTCTATCTCCAAGTTCTCCAGGGAAAATTCACAAAAGCTTCAATTGCCATATGCAGAACAATGGCGGGACGGCTTGAAGCAGTCCAACAGATAGAAGATCACTTCCGTCGCCCTCAGTGCGCGAAGCAGAAACAGCGTGGCTTGCCTTGCAAGACAAAGTGACCCTCGAGAAAAAACTCTACGCTTCTGGGGGGGGTCCGTTTAGCTTTGCGCAACGGGGGGGTCAAATGACAAACCTTGCCTGGAAGGTGCTTCAACAATGTCGTACTCCGCAGAAAGCTTTGCACCGCCATGCCATGACAAATGCCCTCAAATGGGCCCTAGCCAAACTCAAGGTGTCAAAGGAACGCTTCCAAAGCCATGTATTATAATCTACAAAAGTGGCCATGCACCTCGACTTAAGGCCACGCACCTTTGGCACCCCCAGTTTTGAGAACACAAAGGGCCCCAAAGATCTAGAAATCCTCACAGCGCCGTTGAATTCCCCACAAAAGCTGCAAGGAGCCACGTTAGAATCTTATTGTTTTTGCTGCAGAATCCTCCGACTCCAAAGCCCAGGCTTCGCCAAAGGTAAGCCCTCCCCTAAAAAGATCGCTGAGGCCTAGGGGTCCATGGGCGCAATCCCTTGACGGGAGCAAACAACGGGGGACTTGGATTTGCATGAACACATAAGCCACACAAGAAGCCTCGTATGAAATAAATCCACCCAAAACCATGCTGTAAAAGTTCTCACCCCTTTCTGGTTGAGCCTGTCCCTGCTTGTCTTCATCTACCCAAGTGGTGATTGTTGCTCAGATCGTACAACAAAAGGAAGTGATCACCCAGAAGTGTGCACGTTTTCTTGAGGCTACCCTTGCACAATGGTTTGAAGAAAAACAGGGAAAACTATAATTTTAACAAATCCCCCGTTTTTGACGCACATACAAGTGCCAAGCCCTGGGTGCTTGGCCCCGTTGCAAATGCTCAGGCCCCGGCGCTCATGCAGCTCTCGAGATTCCCAATCGCTCCGGCCTTCGGCCTGCAGCCCCGCTATCCCCTCAGGGGTCCGGGGATACACAAACAAGAAATAGGAAGTCCCCAAGAAAAGAACCGGTGAGGCGAGCCCCCTTTGTGGGGTGACCAACATTTACCCAAATATTCCGGAGGGAAACGCGGATTTCACAAAAATATGAAACCCAAGAAGACAACGTTCCTGTATAGTTGTGGAGGCTAGGGAACCTTCCAAGTGGTTGCTTTCCGTCTTTGGATTCCATGTTTGCAACTTGATCAACTTCAACATCAACTGGGGGCTCACTCGTCTCGACCCAAGCGCTAGCTTTCCCAAGCCAGCACCAGGCCTGTGGAGCCGACATCCACCGTTGGTCTGGCCGCAAAGCTGTTGTCGGTAGGTGCGCGGGGGGGGGGGGGCACGTGGGGCAAACCAAGCACGCAAGGCAACCAAATGTTGAGCAGCCAACTGAACGAGCAACCCACAAAACAAAACACTAAAAGCAAACCAACAAGCAAACAAACAAGCAAACACACAAACAAACACGCAAGCAAGCAACCAAACAAAAACACAAAAGGCAAACAATCAACAATCAACAAACAAACAAACAAACAAACAAACAAACAAACAAACAAACAAACAAAAACGCAAGCCGGCAAACAAACAAACAGACAAACCAACACGCAAGCGAGCAAGCGAGCAAGCAAGCAAGCAAGCAAGCAAGCAAGCAAGCAAGCAAGCAAGCAAGCAAGCAAGCAAGCAAGCACGCAAGCACGCAAGCACGCAAGCACGCAAGCACGCAAGCAAGCACGCAAACAAACAGCGCAAAGCGAAATAGACAGAAAACAAGCAAACAACAAAGAAACACGCAAGTGAGCAAGCAAACAAACAAACAAACAAAAGAAAAACCATCAACAAACAAACAAACAAACAAACATACAAGCAAGCAAGCAAACAAACAAACAAACACGCAAGCGAGCGAGCGAGCGAGCGAGCAAGCAAGCAAGCAAACAAACAAACAAACAAACACGCAAGCGAGCGAGCGAGCGAGCGAGCGAGCGAGCGAACAAACAAACAAACAAACAAACAAACAAACAAACAAACAAACAAACAAACAAACAAACAAACAAACAAACAACAATCAATCAAAGCAAAGCAAAGCAAAGCAAAGCAAAACAAGGCACGCACAAACAAACAAAGCAAAACACAACACATACAAGCAAACAAAACAAAACAAAGCACAAACAAACAAACAAACAAACAAAAAACAAACAAAAAACAAAGCAATGCAAAACAAACCACAAACAAACAAACAAACGAACAAATGAACAGGTCTACTGAAGTCCATGCCTCAAAACGGCACGCTGTTGGCACGCTGATCACACCAAACTCTCACCACTCTGCACGCACCCTAAAACAATCGTTCGTCATGCAAAACATGCCAAACCCATGTTGCCCAATGCTGGCGTCGTGCACGGTCAAAGTCACACATATGTCCCCAAAGAATCGTAACATGATGCGTGCCGCTTTGACCATGAAGAAGACCTCATCACATACATGCCTTTCACACCTGCTTGTGCAACGCAGACAAACACACACAAGAATATGTTACACGCAACGCTCATCTACTCGACTGCGTTTGATGCTATCGCGAGGACGCTAAGCTTGTACCGTTTGACATCCACATTGGTTGGCCTCTCAAATATGCGCACCTGACAGGGTTTGTGTGAAACCAACATTGTCTTGGGAGTCTCATTCAAGTGTCTGTTCGTTTCTGTCATGACTTCAATTGTTGTACCTTAGGTCGGTTCAAGCCCCTACGAAAGTTTTCCCCTGTACCCTTCAAGAGGCTTCTAATGAGTCTAACATCCCCTCAACTCCTCCTAATCTTGTTGCCAGCTGAAAGCTCGACGTGTGCGAGGCGCAACACGGACCACTTGGAACACCTGGTGAAGACATGACTCCAAATCAATTTACTACTGTGTTTTGCCTTACAAGTTCAATCACCAGTCAAATCACACATGTGCCCCCGATTGTTCTCCGACAAGTGAGGGATCAAACACAACACCTCCTTCTTTAACACGGGCCCTACCCGACCCTCCCAGCAGGTTGTTCTGGGCGTCGCCTCCTCCATGGGGAAATCCACATGCGTTCGTCCATGGCGGGTGCCCCGCCGATGCTTGTGAGAGCCGACGATATTCTTCAGCAACTCAACGGAAACGGTCGGTGTTCAATCAAAGTTTGAAATAGACTTCGACATGAGACACGGTGCACTTGGTTTGCGATGCTAATTCTCGTGGCGGCTCCGTGTGCCTCAAACTGCGAACGAGAAACCAAGTAAATGGCCAATTCTGCCTTGTTAGGACCTAAAAAAAACATCTGTTGATTCACCTGTTCACACTTAAACAGCCGACCAAAAACAGAGATCAGCCCACTTGGGGATTCGTCTGAATTGCGACATGAGGCATGGTCAATACGCATTGTCTCATTGGTCAAAACTCCACCATCTGCGGGCCACGTTCATGGCTCCCTTGCGAGTCGTCACCGTCCCCACCCCAGGCAAAAGAGTCATTTGACTACATGTGCTATGGGATTGTCTCAAAACTGGAAAACCTGGAATCCCGGAAACCCATGTCCTCCTTCTTCGGCTTCCCTCGGATACCCTCCAAAGACATACCCACCTCACCACCTCTGCAGGAAAAGCTAACCTCCACGGCAACAGTCGCTGTGGCCAGGACTTTGGACGTTCAGCCAAGCTTTCTCCCGGATCCAATCCGCTGAAAAGCGCTCGCATGGGCAGCAATTCAACTTGAGGGGGAGCCCATTTTGGCTGAGCCACAAACTGTGGTCAACCCACCAGAACACAAATGTGACTTGCGATATTTGCCTGGTCTCAAAAAGCCTGCTACCTTGGGGTGGACTAGAACCTAAATTCACATGGCGGGTTCCCTACAACTCTCCGATTCCCCTTTTTGACCCTGAGCCAAGGGCAGGTTTACAAAATGGAGGTTGCAAACAGGAATGGGGTGGAAAAGCGAAGTCCCACATATGTCCCACCGAGAAATCCAAACGATCAAGCCCCTAAATCAGAGGCCGCACGTCCTCCGTGTCTGGCAGGTCCAGCTGTGGCCAGCCAATGGACTCGGCGCGCACCGCTGCCTGCTCTCCAACGGAAAAGGGGGGGGGCAAACGCAATGTGTGATTCTGAAGACATATATATATATATATATACACATATATATATATATATATGTATTAGGTTATGTATATATATTTGTGTACATGCAGATGTATATATATATATATACATAGTCATAGTGTGTGCAATATGCAGCTGACACACATACACACATGCACACATACACACACATACACACATACACACACATACACAGACATACACACACACACATACTTACATACATACACACATACATTACATTACATTACATTACATTGCGTTACATTACATTACAATACATTACATTACATTACATACATTACATTACATTACATTACATTACATTACATTACATTACATTACATTACATTACATTACATTACATTACATTACATTACATTACATTACATTACATACATACATTACATTACATACATACATACATACATACATACATACATACATACATTACATTACATACATACATACATACATACATACATACATACATACATACATACATACATACATACATACATACATACATACATACATACATACATACATACATACATACATACATACATACATACATAC